TTAGACTGCCGTTTCTTCCCTTACGTGAAGTGTATTCCGAACTCTTCAAGCCGTTTGCCATGCGTTTTCGTTATTATTTGTGGGAAGGGTATGAACTTAATTGTTTAATAACTTTTTTTTTGTGGATAAACGATCTTGCCGAAGAAGTCTCTAGTATTTGAAATACGCCTTTTACATTTGAGGGGCTGGATATAGGGTGGGTGGTAAATTTCAACCAAAACCGAAATTGTATATTCATTCAAAATTTGGAGACTGTAGCTGCAAAGATGTAGGAGATAAAATTTTATAACTGATTCTCGATAAGGTTTTCTCTCGATAAAAATAGATCGGGATGAGTTATAGATTTTTAGTGATAAACTCGATATCCGCGCTGTAAATACGGACATTTAAAAAAAATTTAAAGTCTCTAGTTCTTATATCTTCAGAAATCGACGCGTTTATACATACGGACAGACGGACAGGGCCAAATCGACTCAGCTCGTCTTCCTGATTAAGAATATATATATACATATATACTTTATGGGGTCTGCGATGATTACTTCTGCCTGTTACATACTTTTAACAAAACCATTATACCCTGATCTTGACATAACAGTATCTTTGGGAACGAATAAAAAAAAGTAGCTAGTAAATAAAAATAAGTAAATAATATTTGTAATACAGTCTAATTATTTAAATAAAATTATTAATATGTCGTTGAAAGTCAGTACTATTTTTAAAATAGTCTTCAATGATATTTTGGAATTTTTAATACATTTTATATTTGTCTTCGTTGTTTATAGCTGCTTTGATATGGTTAGGTTTCTTTTGGAGTGTGCGACTTGGGCCCAGTAGGTATAAAAGCATCTTAAATATTGTTGGGATATATGTATATGACGCTATTTGTGCTTCAAAATTTATCCGTGGCAGACCCCATAAAGTATATATATGTATTCTTGATCAGGGCGACGACCTGAGTTAATTTAGCTGGGCGTCTGTCTATCTGTCCGTCCGTGTGTTTAAACGCGTCGATCTCAGAATTTATAAGATTAGCTCTTAGATTATTCCAAAGCACAAGTTTTTAGTACTTAAAATACGTTTCTTACAAATGGCAAAGTAGGGTGGTATCCAAAATCTGAAAATTTCAAAATTTTTTTATTCATCAAACGTATATACACAATAAATCTGAAGTATCCAGGTCTAAAAGTGTTCAAATTAGGCTGAAAACACATAAAACAAATTTTTCGATTATTTTCGATAAAAAGTAATCGGATGCGTTATCGATAAATATGATAAGCTTGTACTACGTATGGTATACACGAGTATGCATGCAATTTCAGCTCTCTAGCTTTTATATCTTCTGAGATCGAAGGACATGAATATATATACTTTATATGATCAAGAATATATATACTTTATGGGGTCTGCGATGATTCCTTCTGCCCGTTACATACTTTTCACAAAACCATTATAACCTTTGTCAAATTGACATTTTTTCCTAGGTGCGTATCCGTCTTAAATTCATAATCTGGTAGTTTGATAAAGATAGTCTAGCCACAAGAAAAGTTATTAAACAATTAACTCCTCACACCATGCCACCACTGCAGCCAATGCGTGTTTAAGCGTGCGTGCGTGTGTGTGCATGTCGAATAATTATTAAAATATCGGTTGCTAGAAGGGTTTACGAGATCTCGTAGTCGGGCAGTCTCGACTAGAGCATTCCTACTTGTTTAAAACGGAAAATATTTAAAATGACAACCGCTGTCGTCCTAATTATTATTTGACACTCCAACGGCGCGATATGGGCCAAAAGGCAATGCGCTCTAAACACATAACGGCGGCTTTTAAAAGCTTAAAATATGCTAGTCATTACATTCATATAATCTATTTTTTCGTTGTATATACTGTATATACAATAAAATTGTCTGTTAGAATGTTATTGAATAGTCCAACATAAAATGAATTATTAAATTCATTCTTGTATTAATGCATATATATGTACATGAATTTAATTTTACCAAATGCTCCTTCTCCCAATTCCTCACAAAACTCAATATCTTGTAAAGTAAAATGTGGAATTCGCAAAAGTGAAGTTTTTTCTATATTTTTAGATGGTATGCCTATTTGATCGACGAGACTATTTGAAGGTCTTCCTGAATCTTGGTTTGTATTTAATTGAGAGTTTCCATAAATATTGTTGCCAGCATTAGGTGTGTTAATCTGAAACTCGAAAACAAAAATGTAGTATTATAAAATACACGTGTTTCTATCGGGATACATACATTTTGTATATTTTTCATTCCACCTTTTTTTTTCTTCAGAAGTAAAATTGAAATGAGGACTACTGTTGCTATTATCAAACCTAATGTTACAATAATACTTAGCCAGATTTTATCAACGCATTTTGGAATATCGCAAGGTTCAATGCTTCGATCTAATGATTTGTTATCCACAAAACACCACGGTGTCTTTTCCATGCTTCCTGGGTTTCTAAAAAATCATCTCATTTTCATAAATATGGAATATGAAATATTTAGAGTCAAATGAAATTAGTTTTAATAAATACGCAATAATCATTAATGGTCCCTTATTTGACATTTTGGCGTTTAATTGATTATTTATTTTTAAAATATTGGTAATACATACCTGCAATAGTTTTGTCCTATTAGTTCTGGAAAGTCTGAGATTTCTTTCATAAGCCAAGACCATCTTAAACACGGCTTCCCAGATACACTAACGTTTTTAATTCCTCTGTAACTTGAACCGTCTTCCCAAAAGCAGTTTTCAGCATCATCTACTTCAATAGTTATCCCTAATGTAGAGCAATCTTTGTCTTGGGGTATTTTCTGGCACTCCTCTACTCCTACTATACCAATCACTGGATGTCGTTTAGCAATAGCATATTCTTTTTGGCACAGTTCATTTTCTAAAAGTTCACATTCTTCTCGACAAATCCGTTTTAAATTTTCAGATTCTCTAGTTGGTGGATATTTGCTTGACACATCTTTCGTGAATACGTCGCTGTAGTAAACCGACTTCTTTTTAAGAAACAAATGCCTATTTTTATTATCTTTTGAAACAAATCTTTTCCTTCGTGTATAATTTCCATCGTATTTATTATTGATCATCGCAACATTGGCAAAATATAATAAATTAGTTCTTTCAGGTGTTCTACATATTGGAAGTGAACTCAAACATAAACTCGGCAGAGCATATTTTCGGCAGTTTGAATTCATATCTCTAAAAATTAAAATATAATCATAACTCACGACCAAATGCTAAATATACTCACTTTGACTCTTTAATCACCCCATAGGCGGCTCTCAATCGTTCTTCTAAATCATATATGGTTACGTTTGGAGATATAAATACATACGAATTTTTTAAAAATTCGTTGCAAGTCGTCCCGTTATATAGTTGACATATTCCAGGTAACTGTTGAAACCTTAAATAAATAATACACACTCTTTATAAGTGTTCAACATTTGTCAAGTTTCACAGGCGAATTGTGCGGATTTATTAAATATCTATAATCTTCCTTATCCATAATGATTCCTACAACAACAAGTAAGAAAACTCTAGTCGAGACTGTTCGACTACGAGATCCCCTGAATCCTTCGAGCAATTGATTTTTAATAGTTCTTTGCGTCTTTCTGCGTACAGAAGAAATACACACACACACTCACAGACGCCAGTGCTGCCAGAATTTTAATAGCAAGAATTGCTTGAACTTAAAAAAAAAAAGTTTCTAAAATTGCTGATTAAAATTACTAAAAGAAATTGCCAAATTTTGTTAAAATTTTTGTAGTGTTGAGGCTTTATTTAGCGATCCACAAAAGATTTGTACTAAATAATAGCTCTTAGCAACAGCTTGTGCGTGTTGCTCTTAAGTGAGTTCTTTTTCAATAATCGGACGCCACGTCAGTAACCACATGGATATTTAACGTTTGTGCTATCAGCTGAGAATAGCTTTGTGGGAACAAAGCTTCG